TAGATCAATGGAACAGAATAGAAAGCTGAAAAATAAACCCACACCTTTAACATCAGTTAATATTTGACAAAAGAAACAGAAACATACAACAGGGTAAAGATAGTCTATTTAATAAATGGTGTTGGGGAAATTGGACAGATACATGAAAAAAATTAAACTAGACCACCCTCTTATACCATACACACTCAAAATGGATTAAAGACAAATGTTAGACTTGAAACTATATAAATCCTAGAAGAAAACATTAGCATAAATCTTGGGTATTTCTCATAGCAATATTTTTTTCTGATATATAATATCTCCTTGGACAAGAGAAACAAAAGAAAAGACAAATGACAGTACATCAAACTAAAAAGTTTTTGCACAGCAAAGGAAACCATCAACAAAATGAAAAGACAGCCCACTGAATGGGAGAACATATTTGCCAATATATCTGATAAGGGCTTAGTATCCAAAATGTATAAGGAACTTACAAAACTTAACACCAGAAAAATATACAATCCAGTTAGGGAATGGGTAAAGGACCTGAAAAGACTCTTCTCCAAAGAGGACATACAGATGGCCAATAGACATATGAAAAGATGCTCAATGTCACTAATCATCAGAGAGATGCAAATTAAAACCACAATGAGGACTTCTGGCCAAAATGGAGGCGTAGGTAGAAACACTGTACCTCCTCGCACAAACAAGTTTAAAGACAACAAAGTTTTAATAACAAAAACACAGAAAATTAAACTGTACAGAAGTCGGACAACAACACACCATTTGGCCAGGCCTGTAAGAGGGGCAGAGTCAGCGGTGGAGCAGGGTTGGGCAGAAAAGATTGGTGGCTGGCAGATCCCAGGCATGGGTTGGCAACCGGTGAACCCAGTGAGGGCACAAAACGGCTGGCTGACTGCAGTTACACATTTGCGCACAGATAAACCAAGTGAAGGAGCAAGCAGTGAGACAGACCGCTCAGGCTAGAGCCCCAGCTATGGGAATTAGCACCAATTGGAGAGATTTTCAGGGTTGAGGTGCCGGGAGAAGCTCCCAGGTTCACAGAGAATTCGTTGGAGAGACCCACAGGGTCCTGAAGGGTACACAAGCCCATGCACCTGGGAACCAGCACCGGAAGGGCCCAATTTGCTTGTGGGAAGTGGCAAAGGGGACAGAAATCTAAGAGAGAGCAGAACAAATGCCATTGCCCCTCTCTGACCCTGCCCCCACATACAGCATCACACAACCCAGCAACCTGAGTTGCCCCACCCTGATGAACACCTAAGGCTCTGCCCCTCATACATAACAGGTGCAAACAGACCAAAACATTATGGCTCAAGAACAGCTGAAAGCCCCAGAGCCAATAATTCTAAGCGACCAAGAAGAGACAGTTAACCTTTCAGATGCACAGTTTAAAACACTGGTGATCAGGATGCTCACAGAATCGGTTGATTTTAGTCACAAATTAGAGGAACATATGAAGGCTAAACTAATTGAAATGAAGGAAAATGCACAGGAAACCAATAGTGATGGAAAGGAAGCTGGGACTCAAATCAAAGGAGTGGACCAGAAGGAAGAAAAAAATGACCAAACAGAAAAAGATGAAGAAACAAGAATTCAAAAAAATGAGGAGACGCTTAGGAACCTCCAGGACATCTTTAAACACTCCAACATCCAAATTTTAGGGGTACCAGAAGGGGAAGAGAAACAGCCGTGAGTGGAAAACTAATTTGAACAAATAATAAAGGAGAACTTTGCCAATCTGGCAAAGGAAATAGACTTTCAGAAAGTCCAGGAAGCTCAGAGAGTCCCAAAGAAGTTGGACCCAAGAAGAAACACACCAAGGCACATCATAATTATATTAGCCAAGATTAAAATGAAGGAGAGAATTCTAGAAGCAGCAAGAGATAAGGGGACAGTCACCTACAAAGGAGTTCCCATCAGACTGTCAGCTGATTTTTCAAAAGACACCTTACAGGCAAGAAGGGGCTGGAAAGAGGTACTCCAAGTCATGAAAACCAAAGACCTACAACCAAGATTGCTCTATCCAGCAAAGCTTTCATTTAGAATGGAAGGACAGATAAAGTGCTTCTCAGATAAGATCAAATTCAAGAAGTTCATCACCAAGCCCTTATGATATGAAATGTTAAAAGGACTTACCTAAGAAAAAGAAGATAAAAAATATGAACAGTGAAAGGACAGCAAACTCTCAGTTATTAAGAATCACACCTAAAACAAAAGCAAACTAAGAGGACGGCTAGATCAAGAGCAGAACCATAGAAATGGAGATCACATGGAGGGTTAGCAACAGAGGGGTGGGAGGAGGAGAAGGGGAGAGAAGGTACAGAGAATAAGTAGCATAGATGGTAGGCAGAAAATAGACAGGGGGAAGGGCAAGAATAGTATAGGAAATATAGAATCTAAAGAACTTTTGTGACACATGAACATGAATGAAAGGGGGAATTGTGGGGGAGGGGGTGTGCAGGGTGGAGGGGAATGAAGGGGGGGATAGGACAACTGTAATGGCATAATCAATAAAATATATTTTTTAAAAAACCACCTCACACTTGAGATATCACCTCACACTTGTCAGAATGGCTATCATCAATATATCAACAAACAAGTGCTGGTGAGGATGTGGAGAGAAGGGAACACTCATGCACTGTTGGTGAGAATGTAGATTTGTGCAGCCACTGTGGAAAGCAGTATGGAGTTGCCTCAAAAAAATTAACAAAGGAAGTGCCTTACGACCTAGCAATTTTACTTCTAGAAATATATCCAAAGAAACTCAAAACACTAATTTGAAAAAATATATGCATCCCTATGTTCACTGCAGCATTATTTACAATAGCCAAGATTTGGAAGCAGCTCAGTTGCTCATCAGTAGATGAGTGGATAAAAAATCTGTGGTACATTTGCACAATGGAATACTACTCAGCCAAAAAAAAGAAGAAAATCTTACCATTTATAACAGCATGAATGGACATGGAGAGTATTATGCTAAGTGAAATAAGCCAGACGGTGAAAGACAAATACCATATGATCTCACCTATAAGTAGAACCTAATCAACAAAGCAAATTTTAAGCAAAATATAACCAGGTACATTGAAATAAAAAATAAACTGACAGTAACGAGAGGAGAGTTGGGAAGGGATAATGGGGCGAGGAAAAGGGAAGGGTTGTTAAGGAACATGTATAAAGAACACATGGACAAAGCCAAAAGGGGGTAGGATTGAGGATGGGAGATTTAGATGGCTGGGTGAGGGGAGTGGTAGTGGGGAATAAATAAATAAATTTCTTTAAAAAGAAAAAAACGGTGGTACATTTACACAATGGAATACTACTTAGCCATAAAAAAGAAGAAAATCTTACCCTTTATGACAGATGAATGAACCTGGAGAGTATTACACTAAGTGAAATAAGCCAGTCGGAGAAAGACAAGTACCACATGATTTCACTTATATGTGGAATCTAATGAACATAATAAACTATCAAACAAAGTAGAAACAAACTCATAAGTATAGAGAAAAGACTGATAACTATCAGAGGGGAAGGGGGTTGAGGGTTCGGTGAAAAAGATGAAGGAATTAAGCAAAGAAAAAAACTCAGAGACACAGACAACAGTATGGTGATTGCAAGAGGGAAAGGGGGATGGGGAGGTAGAAGAGGGTAAAGGGGGGAATAAATAGTGATGGGAGGAGGCTGGGCTTGGAGTGGTGAACACACAATGCAATGTACAGATGATGTGTTATGAAACTGTATACCTGAAACATACATAATTTTATTAGCCAAAGTCACCCCAATAAATTCAATTTAAAAATTATTATAATAGATTAAAATACATGGAATATGTATTAAAATCCATATGTTCATAATACTGAAAACAACAACTACAACAACCTTCCCCAAATGGGGAAAATATTTCATTGGTTGCCACTGGAGGTGACTATTGATGAAAGAAAGACAGAAACTATATTCAGAAAATCTGTAATTAAGAGTAAAGAATTAAATATTTATTCTGTTTTCACCAGTAGAAAGTATGTTTCAATGTAACCAAATATATAGCGACCAAATGGAATTTATTTCAGGACTTATAAGATAGCTCAAAACTAGGAAATCTATTAATAAAATTCATTATTAATGAATCCAGAGTGAAAAATCCAACAATCATCTCCTTAGATGTTGAAAAAGCATTTGAAAAAATCAACATTCTTGACTTTTAAAGATCACTCTATAAGACAGAAATTAGGTGCATTTTTCCTAAAGTGGTAAAATATATCTTTTTTTAGATCAAATGGAATGGAGTTATGGTATATATAAATAAAACCATTTATGGTAAAGTAGTAATTAATACAGGAGTAATTTTTACTTAAAGTCATAAAAAAGACAAAGATGCCCATATCACCATTCTTATATTGGAGGAATAACCAATGTAATCAGCTAGGAAAAAGATGATAGAAATATAAAAATTGAAAAGGAGGAAGGAAAACTATTGCTGCAGACAGTACGGTTGCTTCCCTAGAAAACCCAAGAAATCAACTAAAAATTTACTATAAACAGTAAGAGAACTCAATAAGATAGCAAAAGACAAAAATATACAAAAGTTAATAGCTTTTGTGTATTTAAAGTACATCTTGATAGAAAATGTAATGAAAGAAGAAAGTCTCATGATTGCAACAAAAAATGATAAAATAGTATTAAGTCTAATAAAAGATGCAAACCCATGGAGGAAAACTTTAAGACAATACTGATGGATCCAAAATAAGGTGAACAAATGGAAAGACATGTTCTCAGATATAAACACTTGTCATTTTTAAAGGTGTCAATTTTCTCTAAGTTAATGAATAAATTTAATCAGATTTCAGTAAAAAATTCCTGGAAAAAAAAGGGAGTGGGGAAAGGTACCAGTGTGCTCCATAGGGGGAGCCATCTTATTTTAAGTTTGCACGAGTACATTATTGTTCTATATGCTTTTCAACTTAAGGAGCTATGTCACCTACTGAAAATACAACAAATTGTACCTGTTGTTGATAGTGTTGGTAACATGTATCTTCAGATCTTCTGTGACTTCTCTCATCACCCTCTGATAACCGGACAATCCTGAGCCTTTGATATAATAAGGGTTGTTTCTCATTAAGTATTCCCCCAGATAATTAATTGGATCAAATTTAGTTGGAATATCAACTTCTGTCAGAAGCTTCTTTCTTTCCACTTGCATTAACATTTTTTCCACTCCAAGAACTAAGGTGGGTAGAAGTTTGTCAAGCAAATAAACACGATCATCTACTCTCATATTTTCAATATTAAACCACTCTTTGGCCAGATTATCCTTAGGGATTTTTTTCTCAGCCTTCTTCTCTAGTTCTTTCTTCAGTTTATCCTTATCTATTATTTTCTGCTGCATTGCCAGAGCTCTTGCCTCTACTCTTTCAAGAAGATTTTTCTTCCATAGTTGGTCTAGGTTTGAATCCTGTACAGTTTGGTCCAAATCAAAAACCACTTTTGCAGGTTTTCTAACCACAATATTCTTTGAGACTCCAATGTTAAATTCCTCTGTTGAATCAGTTGAGGTTTCGGGCTGCCCCTCCAGTTTTAATTCTGAGGGAAAAAAAGGTGAAATGTAAGAAATATCAGAAGTAGATTATAATCTCTACTAGTTTAGAATAGTATTAGGAAAATATAATCTCCTTAAATAGTGTATTCGAACACAGCTGAAAGTAACAGAAAATCAGATAATAATAGTGACTTTAACCATAAGGACATTTATTGTTGACTTAATCAGAAGTCATTAGGCACTCACTGTTTTTCATTAAGTATCTTTCTTGTTTTATTTATTTTTATTCTTCTATTGATGCTAGAGAGAGGGGAAGGAAGGGAGAAAAAGAGGAAGAGAAACATCAGTGAGAGAGAGAAACATCAGTGAGAGAGAGAAACATCGAAGCATTGCCTCTTGCACACATCCCAACTAAGGGCTGAACTTGCAATTCGGGCATTTGTCCTGATAGGGAATTGAGCCTGTAACCTTTTGGTTTGTATGACAATGCCCAACCAACTGTACCACACTAGCCAGGACCTGTTTCATTATTCTTTAATCATTTTTTGTGCTCGTACCTCAGGATAAAAAGATAGCTACTGCAGCTCCAGTCATCCCTTCTGTACCGAAAAAAAGTGTTGAAAACAAAGGGGAGTTTTCCTTTTGAGGTTCTGTTTTATTATCCAAGAAGAAAAGATCCCAGATTCCTGCTCCAACAATTCCTTTACATTTCATTGACCCTAATTAGATTACATGTCCACCCTTAGAACAGTAGCTGGTTGTTCTAATAAATGGTAATAAAGACAAAAGGGACTACTATGGTTTTGACCAACCATATTTCTTCATGTCAGGGTTTAGATCAAGTTTTCTGACATCAGAAAGGTGACTTCCACCTGCTATAATATTGGGGTTCAGTCAGCAGGCATAAAGGTAGGGAAATGTTTGTTGAGTGGGCAATGAAGAAAGTCTACCACGTGTGTATATTTAAATATATTTCTCCCCACTCTCATATTTCCATCCTTTTTCATGTTTTCATTTTTAAAACATAGTATGGAGATATTAGACCAAGATAGCAGAGTGAGAACAGGCACCCACATTCCCTCCCAACCAAAATCTCTATGACAGAAAAGGTTTTGTGGGAATGTATTTAATAGGAATGTAAGAATGCTGGCAATCATGAAGGAGGCCTTCACTAAAAAGAAAATCTGAGAGTCTCTGAAAAATGTATGGTAGGTGAGAATAGATTGACTGAAGAAAATACAGGACTACAAATATACAGATAAAAAATAATGCACTGTGAAATTTGGGAGCAGCTTTAAGGCACCCTAAGTTTAAAGAATTTAGATACGGGTAGCAGGAGAATAGCTGACCTTTTTGTGTGTCTTCATCACAATTTAGGCTATTCAACAGGCACCAGAGGCATTCGCCCCTGCACTAGGATGATGTGGTTTGGGAGAGAGAGGCAGGATAATGCTACACTGACAAACTTCACTGGCTACACATCTTAAAACAAAAACTCCATCCATGAAAGAGCAAACAAGGATTCCCAAATGCAAATGTAAGTATACACTTAAGAATCATGACTATTTAAAGAAAACTGCCTCAGTGGCTAAATTCAACAAATGCAATAATTAATACTACCCAAGGAAATACCACTAATAGACTAAGTGTGAAGCGTCTCTAAAAGAATTGTAATTAATATCCCCAGAACAGAGAAATTAGAGAAAATAAAAAGAATCTTATAAATGTTATTAAAAAACAATTTAGAAAGCTTGGATACCTAGTGCTCAGATCTTGGTCTGATACCATTCTCCAGTTTTTTTAAAATTAGAAGTCACTGGAGAAATGGCTAATTTGAGGACTGGGGCAGGAAATATACATAATGAGCTTTGAGCATCTTGTGCCAGAAAGTAAGAAAGTGCTCAGAAAAACTCTACAATGATTGTGGTATGTCAAAGGGACACAACAGCCAACTGAAAGAACTCCTAATGTCCAAAGATCAAACAAGTTGAGCAATGAATAAAGTAGTATTGGATATAACCAAGTATGAAAGAAATATCCATAAATCCATACTGATATTATAACAGAGTACAGCCAGAGAGGGGGGCAAATAGGGATTTGTAATGGGCCCAGAACTCAGGTTGTTCAGGAAATATTAAAGAAAAATATACGTATGATGTCCTTACTACCATCAGTCTGAGCTGGGGGATGGGACACATGAAGCAGGGCTATTGAGAGCTGTTTTGTACAGCAACAGTTTTGCAGCTAACCTCTGCCATGGTCATTTAACATACTTATAAACCTTTACCTGATTTCATAGATATGTTAAATAGCTGTAGCCATGCTTTGAGCTAGGGGGATGGGAGTGACTTGAGCCCAGGATGTAACTGGGAAGCAACTCCCCCTGATTATAGCACCTGTGTGAGAGCTTGGAGATGACTGGCTCTATACCATGAGACCACACCTGTCCAGACTTACTATGGCAGCCCAGTAAAGCTGGAAGAATACAGGAGTGCTGGCAAGTGTAACTGACTGTGGAGGAGTCAGAAATGGGACTACAGAGGAAGATTGGTGTGGGGATTTAAACCTAGGCACAGCAGCCATACCAGGTTGGGACCATGGGGCTTTGGCAGAGGTTGGGACCACACAGTTTTGGGTGCTCCCTTGTGCCACATGGCTTAGGAAGCAGGAGAGACTTTGCCTGGAAGAAAAGGGGTGAAAGGACTCTTGCTGGTGGGCCATGAGAAGGTGCCACATGGCATTGGATTAACTGGAGATCGTGGCAGCGACACAGCTGATGGTACTGGGAGCCTGAACCATGGACTTCTACTTTTTTCCCTGAGATATGGTACCCCGGACTGGGCAGAGGGAGAAGGGAGGACTGTGTGCGTCTATGGGTATTTTAAAGGACTTGAGTTTTTTAACGAAGACATTAAGTAATTACTCTAAGTCTGTATAACTTTTAAATAAATAATTCCTTTTCTTTTAACCAGTCTCTGGCATCGAGAGATGTCTTTCCCCTGGTGGCGGACAAAGCAAACCTATTACGGGGGGACCCTCAAAGAAAAAGGAAGTGTCCTTTTGGTAATAATATATCGTTCACGCCTCCCCAGGTCTGTTCTGTAACAACATAAACAAATATTTGAATAAGTAAATAAATGGAAGGAAATAGACAAATGTCCTGTGCAGAAATATTCCAAATAATTTTACAGATACTCTGCCCTCAAAGAGGTAGAGCATAATTCTTTTGTCTTTAAGTATGGGCTGCACGTAGTATGGTATGGAAATGAGGTGAAAGAGGTGAATTTATAGTGGACAAACCTGACAAGAACTGTTTCAGCCAGATGAAAAAAATTAACATTAACAGTAAAAAGTCATGCTAATAGCATATACGATATGCTTGGTAGGATACAATGAGAATAGCATTTTACTCCTATAGTCTTCCTCCCCCAAACCCATGACCCCAATCTAATCATGATTTTTTAAATCCCATCAGACCAATCCCAACTACGGACATTATACAAAAATACCTGGTAGTACGCCTTAACACACATTTTATTTCTCTGTATCATGTGACACAGTTGACTACTTCCTCTCCAGTGATAAATATTTTTGTCTGCCCAAATCTCTTTGAGGAGCCACCCTTCTCTCATTCTTAATCCATTTGGTTTAGATGGGGCTGACCTCACCCATTTAGATCCAGGGATGGGTGGTGATCCAAACCTGACCACTGTTAAGGTCATTAAAAAAAAAGAAAATCTGAGAAACTGTCAGAACAAAGGAAAGTATAATTAAGTAATCTATAAAGAAACCCTTGAAAAGCCCACATTTAATCTAAAGAATGTCTAATTCCCACAGTGGATGGTACTTATGAACATCCCTCCTAGTTTTCATTTCCTCTTTGGCTAATTCTGTTATTCCAATATGGAGAAGTGGGGAGGGGAGTAAAACACTCCCCCTTACCTCTCAGTTGGATTTAGAAACAAATTAACCACCACTTTTTGGGGGTTAATTTGGGGGATCCATTCTGTTTTGTAACACTGCTCATTAATATGTATTGTTTATATTTTGGTTTTAAATAAGTGTTGAAGAACAATTCTTTCAAGTCTGCATTTTCAAATGCACTCTTTTTGCTTCTAACCTTTCCATAATAACCCAAGGCAAATAGATATTCCATCTCCTGCTGTAAGAGTAGTGTTCAGATATATAACAAATTAATATTTACCCATCTGTCATCATTCATTAGTAAACTCCCACATGAACTGGGGCACTCTCTATCTTCATTGCAGCCTGCTAGTGTTCCTCTAGTGTGCTTGGCTATTATGGGTTGCTAAGCAATCATCTTAGTATTTACCTTGTCCCCACTGATATGCAGAATAGAAGTAGATGTGTGTGGTTATAACTCTAGCCAAACACTTCTCTTAGGGCCATAAAGCCAAGAAAAGAAAAGGAGGTGCAGCAATAACAAGGTCAATAAATCAGGATTCTGAACAAACCTTTCTGCAACTGTCTTTTGATTGAGTGACCTCTGAATTCAATCATAATAAATTACAGCACTGCCCCAAGGGCAAATTAACCTGGAGATTCAATTGAATAGAGTTTCAAACAGGTATTAGAGTTTTTTAGCATGTCTGTGCTTGGACATTCCTGAACCTCCTACAGATAGATTGATTCATTTACACATTCACTCAATAAAAAATTATTGATGTCTCGCTTTGTGCTCAGCACTGCGCTAAGCACTGAAATTCTTTTTCAGGATTGTCTTCCTAAACTCTTTATAGAATTAAAAGCCTCTCAAATTCTCCCCAACATACACACCTTCCCCCTTACATTAATCCACCTCCTAACATACAAAGATGCATTAATTTATGCACTGTGGGCATAAATGCTTTAAACTAAATAGGTGGGGACACAAAAGAATTCCTTATTCGTGTTTTAAAAGTCCAGCTTTACAAGCGACTTATCTTTTCTTGTACTTAGTGCATGGCTCACTGCTGGGAATGGCCACGTTATAATTATAATAAGCCTTAGTAGTCTCTTTCTTCACAAGAAGGCCTATAACATTAGTGGGCTGGGTCCTGATTAAACTGGTAAAAATTGACCCAGCAGGGTTATTCAACTAGATGTGTGGTGTTCTCTTTAAATACAGGTCCTGTCTGAAACTCAACTGGTTTGGTCTTTTTAGGATTTCTTAACATTTCTACATAATGCAGAATGACTACTGTGAAAGCGGAGGAAAAGAAGCACTACTAAATACTACTAGAATTAAATTCAATAGCTATAGGAAAAGGCATTTTCCTACAAAACTTTGATAATCTTAGGCTGTGTAATGTGAACAGAGGGGAGCAAATTGATGGCTTTAAAAAAGATTTCTCAAAATGCAAGTTAAGCTCATAGCCTAAAAAAGTAAAATAATTAGGGTAAAGTATTGAGAAATTCAAATGGTATATTTAACCACAATATTTTCTATGCAAAGAAATGTACTTGAGCACATTCTGAGAGCTGCCTGGCAAGACAATATCATTTTGAGAAATATGACACAAGGATAAAGATACTTCCTCTGACATGTTGAAATTGCAATAACAGTTCTTCTTCCCACTTCTTATTTGTACATACACACACACACACATTCACAATGGGGGAGTCAGAATATTAGGTTTAATTGTGACTGATAACTGAATAAATTAAGTACATTGCATTGCACTTAATATTACCAAATGGAACTTTGTTGTAATATTTTCAGCATATATCATATTCTGGGATGAACAGACTTATGCAAACAAAACATGCTTCCCTGTACTCTACATGGAAAAGCACTAACAGAAAATGAAAGTACAAGGACAGGAAAAAGCCAAAACTGTCAATTGATATGTTTTCTGGAGAGGCAATAAATTACTTGGGGGAATACGTGTGTGAATTTTTGCAGGTGCAAAGTTGGCCATAACTGATTAATGTGAACACCTAATTAAATTTATAACAAGTTACCTAGATCACAATTCTGTTTGGCATGTTTAAAATGAAAAAGTTCATTTATAAACCTGGCCTGATTCATTAAGAAGAAGGCAAAGTATACGTATGGAGTAGTGGTGGTGGAAGATGGGAGTTAGGAGGAAATGAAATCAAGAAATTGGTATGGGCCGAGGGGGAGACAGGGGAACAGGGACTTGCAAAGAAACTTTTTAAAAGTTAGTGATACTGTGAAAATTGTACTAAGTTTACAATAACAACAGAATAAATTTTGGAAAGTTTGATTCTTAAAGTGTACATATTAATATGTGTATTAATAAGAAGAAATAGTCAATTATTGCTTTTAATTGGTTAAAAAGACAGAGGCCCTGGCTACTGTGGCTCGCCTGGTTGTAGCATCAACCCATAAACTGTAAGTTTGCCGCTTGATTCCCAGTCAGGGCACATGACTAGGTTGTGGGTTCGGTCCCTGATTGGAGTGCATATGAGGGGTTCCCCAGTTGGGGCAGGTACAATCCATGTTTCTCTCTCATATCGATGTTTCCCTCCCGCTTTCTCTCCCTCCCTTCCCCCCTCTCTAAAACCAGTAAGCATGTCTTCAAGTGAGGATTTAAAAAAAAGACAGACAAACACGTTGGAGAAAAGCAAGCACCTAAAAATTATAACTAGTGTCTACAGAGCAACCTATAGTTTAGAAAATGCTTCAATAATTATTACTGTAATTCAGCCTAGTGCAGCTTATCACATACTAAACACTCAACACTTGTAAAATAAATAGATGGGAATTTCAATGAATCAAAATATAAACTGAAATTGTTAAATTGTAAATATTGTAAAGAATTTCTGTTTTATAGGATTTCACGAAGTATCTGCAATTCGAAGAATTAGTGAAAGGGATGAATGTCTTGCTCACAAAGGCAACTTAATCTGTTGCCTTTCTGATCATATAAATTTTCAATCTATTTGCATGATTATGTGGGATTTTGGTAAGAACTGGGCTAGAATTCAAGTATAAATGTGTGGTCGAGTACCGGGGTAAAAAGAAGAAACAGAAAAACAATAGGCAGGCCTAATCACTTGGGCACCTCATTTTATGTTTGCATTAATGGGTTGTTTGGTATGGTCCATCAGCAATCTTAATTCAGTCATAAAATTGACTCAGAAGTGTTAATAGAAGAAAAAGGGGATATATTTTAAACTATTTCCAAAACTGTATTTAAAATATTCCTAGGATTATATTTTTAAAGGGCAAAATCTTGAGGAAGGTATTGCTAATAAAAACTACATAATAGTTTTAAATTCTATTGAGCAGGGCAGCTATTTTCAACATTTTTTCATCTCACAGCACACATAAACTAATTACTAAAATTCTTTAGCACACTAAAAATAAATTATTTTTTCTGATCTGAAAAAAAAGGTATAATTTTGGTTCATTCACACCAGATGACTATTGTGTTGGCTATTGTCGTTTTTTAATTTGACATTTTAAGGGAAAAGAGGTCAGCACCCCTGACTAAATAGGTATCACATGTTTTAAAAATTCTTGTGGCACACAGTGTGCATGCTGCAGCACAAAGGCAGAAAATCGCTGGTGTAGGGGAAAGGCTAGTTCTCTACCTTGGGATTTGATTTCATTTGTTGCTTCTTCTGCCACATTGCTGCTGGTATCTAATGCAGAACTGCCTGGTTGACTCTGTGGCTTCTGAAAAGAAAAAGAAACAACAATTTCAAAATGAGTTGCTTTTCCTCAAAGTTGCAACAACTCTCTCAGTTAAAGAATGCAGATAAATGCCTTGTAGGAGTTACCAAACATTCTTACTTAATTTTGCTAGCATTAAATGCTGTGTATTAGAAGCAATGCAGTAGTCACAGTCTATTTACTACATTCGGAAGATAAAATGTATTGGCTCAATGCATCATCACATCTGGCTATTGCTAACAAGTAATATGCTAAGAATATAATACTTCATGTACATGAATCTTTGAATTATGCGATACTTCCTACAAACATAATTTGAGACCACAGCATAGTGAAATCAGACTTTTGAAAATGTTACTTTCTTTTACTATTGGAATCACCTTTCATGTTTGTGGTGGAAAGAAAAACATTTCATCTTAAATGAAGAAAGTGAAGGTTAGTTTTATGAATAAATAGTGTCCAAATAGATTTTTGTACTCATGACAATGTACTTTTAAAAGAAGAATAATAGAATATTTTAAAGACTTACATTAATCAACTTAATGGTGAATCTACATAGCTATTTTTAGTTGCCTCCCTGTTTCTGTAAATACTTTCTCATGTATCTTGTGTTTACTTAAACACATAGTTACTTAAATGATTAACATGGAAATTACATATTCGGAATGATAGTGAAATTATCCTAAAAACTGGTGCTTATTGTACTTTGGGTAATAGTTCTGATTTCAGAAAGCAATCTTGTATGTGCCCTGACCAGAGACTGCAACCTACAACCTTGCCACGAGTTGGACACTCCTAGGTAGAGCATTGTCCCTATACGCTGACCTGCTACCTTGGCATGTAGAGACAATGCTCTATCTAGGGGTGTCCAACTGGATACCTGTTGGACACCCCTGTGCCAACTATAAGAAGTAACCAATGAATGCATAAGTGGAACAACAAATTGATGTTTGTCTGTCTCTCTCTAAAATCAATTTTAAAAATTCCCAATCTTAAAAAAAGAGAAAGCACTCTTTTATTTATATATATAATTCATAATAGTTCTTCACAAATTATCAATGGAAGGTTCCTGCAACAGCTTAAAATAAGTTAGCTTAATTTTTTTCATTTGCCATGTTATCTGTTTGCGTACTACATCTTTTCCTTCTTTCATAAGAAAATTAATTTGTCCAGTTTACTCTTCAGCATTAACATCAGATTTTTCATGAAAACTCTACCTCACTGGGCTCATTCACTTCAGTTGCTTCCTGTTTTCCTTCTTTGTCTTTTTCATTTTCCTAAAATGGAAACAGTGTTAGTAAGTGGTACCCAAAAGGAACTGGAAATAAACTAACATCACATACTCTAGCATATCAAGCTTTTTACGTTAAAAATTTTCACATAATGAGTGAACATCATACAAAGTAAAATCACACTAAGTACTTGTATTAACAAATTCAAACAGTAACAGGCTCATTAATACATAATGAATGTCAACCAACTAGAAAGAGGCCACTGCTTCTTAGTTGATCCCTTCTGTTTGCAGCATTTTTTTTTTTTTTGGTCAAAACCTGATACAGAATACTTAAACTAAAAAGAGAAATAATTAAATGATAAAATGTGATATTTCATCTTGGTTCTCCCAAGAAAGTTGAATATCAAATCCTCTCTCCTGGTTAAATGGTTAGCAACCTATCTAAGTCAGGTACCTGAGCAGCTTTGGGTTCCTCTTGAGATGCTGACTCACTCATCTGGATCACTAAAAACTATCCCCAAATGGCAGGGGAAAGTATTACCAGATCATTATCAATAATAAAACAGGAGAAAGAAACTCTTAATAAACAACAAAAAGTACTCGGAAAGATCAAATAACCCCCTTCTACATCCCCTCTCCCAACCCCCCTCTACACCCCACAGTTCTATTGAGTGGTAATAAGTTCTCAACTGCTAAATTTTTCAAACTGTACTACTGTTTTTACTGTTATTACTGACTGAAGCTAGAATAATACTAGGGTAGTGCTCAGGGAGATAGGAAAATTCACTCCAGTAATCATCACCATTATCATTTAAAAAATAGCAACAGTAATGTAACTAAAATTTTAAAAACATTATTAGCATCCTTATTAATTTTTGAAATACCAATCAAGGTGAGGTGAAGTGAAACTTTGATGGCTACCTAATTCATGTGAGAAAGGCCGACAGACATTGTAATAATAATTTCACTAAAAAGCATTTTTTGGAAGAAATGTTCTGAGAGAAATATGATTTATCTGGTTTGTTTATTGATATTATGGAATTAAAATGGATAATTATCAGGTCCCCACTTCATTGCAAATGACTATAGATTGCCACAGATTATCAAAATCACTTCTGTGCCAAAACTCATTTGAAAGTGTGTGTAGCCCTGGCCTGGTGGCTCAGATGGTTGGAGTGTTGTCCGTACACCAAAAGGCTGCAGATTTGATTTCTAGTCAGGGCACATACTTAGGTTACTGGTTCCATCCCTGGTTGAGGCACATGTAGGAGGCAAATGATTAATGTTTCTCATGTCCATGTTTCTCTTTCTCTCTCTCCATTTCTCCCTTCCTCTCTCTCTAAAACCAATCCTTAGGTGAGGGTTTAAAAAATAAAAAAATGTGTATATTTAGGCTAGGTGCTAAATGTTATCCATGGCCTCTGCCTCTGGGTGGTTATAATATAGGGAGTCTTTCATCTGAAATGGTATGTTTATACTGTGCTAGAGCAGGGGTGTCCAACCCACAGCCTGAGGGCTGCATGTGACTCACGATGGCTATGAACGTGGCCATCGTAAAGTCGTAAATTTACTTAAAACATTATGAGATTTTTTTATGATCATGTGTCACAATGTATTTAATGTGTGGCCCAAGACATTTTAAAGAAGAGCATTGGGCCAATGCTCTTGGGCCAATGAATGCATAAGTGGAACAACAAATTGATGTCTGTCTGTCTCTCTCTAAAATCAATTTAAAAAATTCCCAATCTTAAAAAAAGAGAAAGCAGTCTTTACATATATAATTCATAATAGTTCTTCACAAATTATCAATGGAAAGTTCCTGCAACAGCTTAAAATAAGTCAGCTTAATTTTTTTCATTTGCCATTTTATCTGTTTGCATACTACATCTTTTCCTTCTTTCATAAGAAAATTAATTTGTCCAGTTTACTCTTCAGCATTAACTCTTCCTCTTTCATGTGGCCCAGAGATGCCCAAAGGTTGGACACCCCTTTTAGAGTATTCACCTTTTTATCAACATAACATGTGTTCTAGTTGAATAAACCAAAAGTACATTCTTTAGAGACAACAGATTCCAGCATTTAAAAATAGCTGCCTAAAAGCCTTTTTGAAGCAGTTCATAAATAAATAATATAAACCAGATTTCTTCGATAGGTCCCAATCGTACATTTTTATAGAGTGCTTTCTTTGCTTATAGTGTCCATCTCCTGAAACTGCTATGAAGCATTTTTCCATTTCTTTAAAAATCTGTTTTGTTTGGATGCACTCAGATAAATTAAACTAATAAACCTTCATTAGGTGCCTTCTATATGCAGGTAGACACAGGGGTGAAGAATATAAATAAGACCTGTCTTTGAGAGTTCCCAGTTTAGTGAGGGGAAGAGGAGTAAACAGATGAAATTGAATCTGCAAAGTGCAAAAGTAAAGGTACATGCAAAGTGTTAAAGAACACAGAGGAATAAATAATATATTTTTGCAGAGAAGTCAGAGAAGTTTTCGCAGAAAAAATAGATTTTCAGGCTGGATTCAAGGGACTAGTAAGAACTTTTGGTGAAAGCAGTGGGGAAGATTATTTGAGACAGAAAGAATAACACACACACACAAGAGGATATGAGAGTTGAAAAACTGTTTGAAGCATTCATGCAGCAGAGCATAGTTATACAAAAGAAAGTAGCAGAAAGTGAGGCTAAAAAGTGTCAGACAATGGTCACTGGCACCAATTGAATATCAACAGAAAGTCCTAATTTGGGGTGCAGTGAAGGAAATTTTATTCAGTGCAAAACAGCTTAATTGTGATACAGCACAGCTGTGAAAACAGCATGGCTGAAAAACAGCTCAATGGTGTCATAGTTCAATTATGAAGCTGTGAAACAGAATGGCTGTGAAGAGGCCCTGAGGCAAGGTGGCCCTGGGGTGAGGCCTCATCTTGGGCTAGGCAGCTCTGCTCTATTCTGGTTAGTTCCATCTGCTCTTTCTTGCTCTGCTCCCGCACCAGTCTGCTTTGCTCTCTGCTCTGCTCCAGCAAAACATCTTCCATGCTTCAGCTCCAGACAGACAGACAGACAGTCTTCAGTGGAGAGGGAAGGGCTGTCCTGGCTGGTGTGGCTCAGTGGATTGAGCGCTGGCCTGAAAACCAAAGGGTCACCAGTTTGATTCCAAGTCACATGCCTGGGTTGCAGGCCAGGTTCTCAGTGGGGGGCATGCAGGAGGCAACCACACATTGCTGTTTCTCTCCCTCCCTCTCTCCTTCCCTTCCCCTCTCTCTAAAAATAAATAAGTAAAATACTCGAAAAAACAAAAAAAGGGAAGGGCTCCCAGAGCCAAAGGAACCAGAGAGGAGATGACTTATATAGACAGAAGGTGCCTGATTGGTCTGTCCACATGCAAATGAGAACTCCAGTGGAGCTGCTCTGAATCTTTGGTGAAGATGTTGATGGGGACATAGCTGCACAGCTCCAATTGAATGGGGAAGCCTCAGTCCTATAGGTTGAAACAGGATTCCAGGAAATCCTCTATAACGGCTGGCTCAGATGGCAGAAACAGTGCAGGAAGACAGTTAGGTCGGTGCAGGAGGCAGATAGCTTAGTGCAGGCTTCTGCCTGAAGTGCTGTTTGCATGAGAGGATGCTGTTTAGAAATGGCTGCTAGGCCTTTTTTTTAAAAGCCCTGTTAAGCCACTAGGAGCCCTTCTTAGTAGGTATTTTCTTTCTCAGTCTCCACAAAACATAACTTTTCAATCTGTAAAGTTATTCATACTAAATCAAGGAGTTAGGACTTCATCTGTGCTTTTTAAGCACTGTACACATGTGATCAAATTGATGTGTTTTAAATGTTAATTCCACCAGCTAAGACTGGAAGTATGAAGGACTGGGGGTGGGGAAAGAGAATAAAGGTAAATTTTGCACCTTAAATGTTACACCTGAAGTGAATGCCTCACTGCCCATCATGGCATAGTGAGGGGCACTGCCAGGCATTGTCAGTACCCTAACCATATTCCTTCAGCTTCACCTTTACAGTACTTGCAGACGTTTCTGATTGTAAGCATCTGCAATTCTGTCAGAGGGCTTTCTGTCAGTCCAAATGTGAGACAGGCCAGAAGATCTTGGAAGTTAGTATCTGACAGGAGAAGCCCTCAGCCATTGATGAATAGGAAGTTGCATATGGTCCCACAGGTGAAACATTTCTGAGGTATGTTCTATACTGTCTCCCAGAGTTCCTCAATAGGATTGAGCCTCAATTGCCCACAGTGAAATCTGCCCAATTATGCATTTGATACCTGCCTAACATTACAGACTTGCTTCACTTCTTGTATTACTTTCCTACTCCCTTACCATCGTTTTCTGGAACCACCTTCCAAATGTACACACACTCAACATCTTGGATCAGGGTCTGTTCTGAGGGAACTAAAAAAAAAAAAACAACAAAAAAACCCGACTACAATGATCAGGATTGGGGCATAATTGAATCTAAGGAGTACAAGAGGAGGTTAGTTAAGGCTGGCTGAGTGTGTTTCTAATATTTAGAAAGCTGAGTAGGTGGTGATGTCATTTAGTAAAATAAGAAAAGGAAAAAAAATAACAGGATTGAAGACACAAGTTTGAGTTTGGAGGTATTACATTTAAGCTACCTGCTTGATAGCCTTATAGAAGTTTCCAATAAGAATCTGAATGCCACTGAAATATGACACATTTGAAGAAACTTAGGCAGAATCAAGTCCACTGGAATATGATAGAAGCATTGTACAGTCTGAATGTAAGCATCTGCATTACATTCAGGCATTAATTAATTTGCATTCTGCACACTTCATATTCCAACCCATGAAATTATAGAATCATTACACTTAGGTTGTTGGCTGAGAACTAATCTTTGTGAATCTAGTTAAGACTTTCCACACACACTCCCATTAGATTTTTAAATTAGTGAATTGTAGCATTTGGCATCTTGGTTGGCAAAACTGTCAATTATATATGAAAGAGTAGCCAATTATGCTTGAGGAAGGAATTTCTCAGTATTAAAAAGAAACCAGACATAATTCTGATTATTCAGACTAGCAAAAGATATGTCATTTACTTGGATTTCTTATCATTCTTGACCTCCTGGATATTAATAGAAAGATGTCTTTGTAGAAGGATGCTAATAGAACTCACCCAATATGAATAACTAGGAGAAAAAATAAGAAGGCTAAAGGTACACCCCTGCTGATGAACACTTAAAAGTAAGGCTGAGCCCTGGCTGGTGTAGCTCAGTGGATTGAGCATGGGCCTGCAATCCAAAGGATCATGGTTCGATTCCCAGTCAGGGCACATGCCTGAGTTGCAGACCAGGTCCCCAGTAGGGGGCACACAAGAGGCAACCACCCATTGATGGTTCTCTTCCTCTCTTTCTCCCTCTCTTTCTCTAAAAATAAATAAATAAATAAATAAATAAATAAATAAAATCTTTTTTTAAAAAGTAAGGCTGAGACAGAAGAGCTAGTGAAAGATACTGGTAACTACTGAAAGTGACAGGAAATTCCCGCAGCTGTGCACCTGCACACCATTAGCCTGACTCCTATTAGAAGCCTTCACTACTGTGCATATTCCTATGTCAATCCCTGGTAGCCCCACGAGTATATTCCAACAGTCAAGGCCCCCACAGCTGCTTTTGGGCCTGGATTTGACCTTGACTCCTGTCATTGGCCTGTATGGCTCTTCCCTCCTCAGTTAACCCTATAGTTGTATACCTGCAAGGTGCCTGCCCTACTCTATCTCTAGCCTCTACTACCAAGCACATGCCTCGGCTAGTCTCTATAGTCATGCAATTATAAAATGACAACCAGAGTTGCTGCAGCTACTTGTGCACCTGAAGTTGGCCTCTGCCTCTGATGCTGGCCCTGGTCATCACCACCATTGCACATCTGCCTGCAACCAGCCCCTGTGCAGCCAGTTCCTGCAAATGTACACACCACTGGTTCTAGCCACCACCACTGCCTAGTATAGTCCGGAGACACTGGACTGGAATCATTAAAGACCCCAAAGTCCTTGCAGCCATTGTGAGCTGCCCGCTGCTCTTACCAATGATCATACAGTTGTTTATGTCATGGACCCCAGCTCACCTCAGATGATTGGATGCTATGCACCCAAATTCAGAGGCACTGCATGCCATCACACTCGGCCCATGTACCACTAGACCTAAGGTCACAGCATGTTCTAGCATGCCTCTACCCATGGGTCAGAGGCAGGTCTTTTGGTAAGGAAAGACCTGTCTGTGCAGTCTTTCCTTACCAAAGGAAATTAAATCTGGAAGAGGTGATGACTTCTTCAAATGTACAGACATCTACAAAGGCTACAGGGATCATAAAGAATCATGGAAATATGATATTACCATAGGAACACAGTAAACTTCCAGTAAAGGACCCTAAAAAAGTGATATTCACAAAATGTCTGATGAAGAGTTAAAAATAATTGTTCTGAAGATGCTTGGAGAACAAAGATAAATAATTTAATAAAATAAATAAAATAATATAAGAATGAAGTAATAAATTTCACAAAGAGATAGAAAACATAAAAAAAAAGA